AGTAAAATCAGTAAAAGTAAGATGGAAGTAGAACAAAAGAACTAAGAATAACATGGTTTATAACAAGCATGTCAAACTCACGGCCCACAATAAATATCTTTGCAGACCAGCAAAAATATTCACTACTAATAGGGGGGCGGTCTGCCCAGGGTGACATTAGGGGGTGACATCAGTGTTGTGGTGGCCGTGGCTGGACAGTAGAGAACATGGAGGTGCACGGAGAAGCTCAATGCCACGGCATATCAGAGGGATAAGCCCAATCTAGACAACTCTGAGGATAAACATTTGTACAAACCCTTAGGCAATTTAATAACTTCACTAAGATGCTAGGTTTTATTAAAACAATAAAAAGATGATATTTTATAATGTATCATTTAGTTTAAAATTAAGTAATTTATGAGTGGGTGATTTAGTTTAGTCATTTAGTTTAAAATTAAGTAATTTATGAGTGGGTGATTTAGTTTAGTCATTTAGTTTAAAATTAAGTAATTTATGAGTGGGTGAAGATTTTTTTTCTTTGTTCTAATTATATCATGTGATATTAGACATTGGAGAGCAGCAGACAAGAGGTTATTTTGGGCCCAGAAATAATTTATACACCTGTTTTTAAAATGAGTAACACATCATCATGTTCCTCACTATGGAACTAAATAAATAACTGAAACAGTATAAAATTCACTTATCAGCTACTGAGAGCTAAACTCCATGGTGACATGTTAATCTATTTCAGTTTTCTTTCAAAATGCATGAAAATGTTACAAAAGTAAGATAAAGAGATAATGGACTCAGAAGATACCTTTCTAAATAACTGAATTACTAAATCTCTATACAGTCAAAAAAGGAAGTGTTCCAAAAATCATGTATCATGTACAACACCAAACCCTAAATTGAGTAACTCCACATCTGCTGTATAAGTCCGACACCATACTGCATCAATAACATCAAACTAGTAGCAGAAAACCTATGCCCACTGCATTACAAAATGTGCGATTACAGCAATAGCCCCACACTTCAGTGTACAATTAACTCCAAATATGTTGCATGAAAATTGAACTATTCACAAATTAGAGATTATTTCATCTGTTATTTCACTCTCCGTATTATATGACATATTTCTAAAAATAGAAGGGAGATACAATCAGTCCTGGGACTTTTCAGGATTCCACTCAAAGCCCCAGCCCAGGTCTGCAGGCCAACAATAAATAAATAATGCTAAAATATTAGACAGGTAGCCTTAATAAGGTAGTTTAAAGCCATAGGCTGGGTACACAGAAAAATATGGCATCAACCAGCCACTAATGGAAATATATAAACCTAAATTCACTATATAGCAGAAGATTAACCCCCTTAAGGACACAACTTCTGGAATAAAAGGGAATCATGACAGAATATTTCCGTCATGTGTCCTTAACCCCTTAAGGACACATGACATGTGTGACATGTCATGTTTCCCTTTTATTCCAGAAGTTTGGTCCTTAAGGGGTTAAAATTTGACATTGCAGGAAGGATATGCCCAAACCAATATTCAATAACTGGCACAACTGTGATGCCAGCTAGTAAAAGGCTCTGTCTGGAGTGCAGGTGCGTATAGGAAACCATAATAAACTGCAATACCATTTGATATTCACTAAATGAAGATGCAGCTTCAAGGGTGTAAGAAAAGCACTTTTATTGGTGTAAATGCTACATGCAGTGAGACCAGATGTAAGATTTCACTAGGTAAAATGAACTTTTTCAGTGCCATGGTTGAATGCAGCCTAAATGAAAGTAAGAATAGTTATGCATTCTGATATTATAATTTAACTGCTCAGCAGCACATAAAGAAAGATGATTGTTCCACTATACATGTAATAAATAAAATATTTTGCTTCTTATGAAATTTGCCCAGTAATCATACATGTATACATAAGTTTAATATTGATTCAAAACTATTTGGGAATATTTTTCATTACTGGTCTAATGATTTCTGTAATAATTAAAAGATATGAATTTTAATCCCCACCAAAATATATACATGTCGTGAATCTTTTATGCAGCTAAGTGAATAAGTGCTGTTTGACATGATATAGTTGATGCAAATTTAATCCTGATGTCTTCCATATCTGCTTTTTAAAGTATTTTAAGCTACTAAAGACCAATAAAAAGAGAATCACTTTCCTAAGATGCTGGAAATCTGGCATCTTCCCTTGGTTTTTGTCTGTTGTGGCCATCTTCTTATTTATCTCAACGTTAAGAACAACTCTTAAGATTTGAATAGATAATACATAATAGATGGCAGCCTAAGTAATATTTTTCAACATCTGGCAATGCTATGCTGCATCTATGTTTTGAAAGTGTATGTAGTAAGTTTATTTGTCCTTATGATTGATTTTATGGTTGTGCTTAAAATTGTGAAGTGATTAAAGGAACACTATATGGACCCAGACCATTTCAGCTCAATGAAGTGGTCTGGGTGCCAGGTTCTTCTAGTTGTAACCCTGCAGCTGAAAACATAGCAGTTACAGAGAAACTGCTATGTTTCACTGAGGGTTAATCCAGCCTCTAGTGGCTGTCTCACTGAGACAGCCGCTAGAGGCGCTTCCACGATTCTCACAGTGAGAAGATGCTGGACGTCCATAGGAAAGCATTAAGTAATGCTTTCCTATGGGCAGTTTGAATGCGCTTTCACCACGCATGCGCATTTGGAGCTGATATCGGCAGAGGGAGGAGAGTTCCCCAGCGCCGAGGGAGCCCGGCGCTGGAGAAAGGTAAGTGGCTGAAGGGGTTTTATCCCCATCAGCCCAGCGGGAGGGGGGCCCTGAGAGTGGGGGGGACTTAATGACCTTATAGGGCCAGGAAAACAATTTTTTTTTCCTGGCACTATAGTGGTCCTTTAAGGGGAATAGTAGGTATTGTTTGAAAAAGAGCAAATGCAGCAAAGGATTTATTCTATATTTCCAACAGGGGCTTAATAATCCTCATAAAACCATTTTATTTTATTTTAACACACCAATAATATATGGACACTGCTTTTGTTTTGGCTTTGTTTTTTTAAGGCTAACTATGAAGATTTGAAAACTTAAAAATATTTATCTATACCTCATCTATACTGAACAAGAGTATACGATTATCACCCCGTGATGTTATATATCTTTACTAAGTAGAGAACATAGGTGCAAAAGCCATTTTGTGGTGACTACCACTAACGGTAAGCATGAAATACACCCTGTTCCAAATTATTATGCAAATTCTATTTAAGTGTCACAAAGATTAAATATTTCGTTTTTCAGTTTAACTCATGGATGGCATTGTGTCTCATGGCTCTTTTGATCACTGAAAACAATCTCTGACACCTTTGATAATTAAGATTGCCAGGTGAGCCCAATTTAACCCCTTAAGGACAGAGCCAAATGTACACATTGTGAACGAAACAAAATGTAAACAAAACCTGGCATTTGCGCTACTGTCCAACCGTAATTCACCCCTTTCATATTAAATGCACCCACCCTTATTATATATAATTTTATTCAGGGGAAACAGGGCTTTCATTTAATATCAAATATTTAGCTATGAAACATAATTTAATATGAAAAAAATGGAAGAAAATAAGATTTTAAAAATTTTTTTTTTAGTTCTACATGACATTTTAACTGTCAATGTCATAATACTGTTTGCTTTTACTGCAATAAAATACACATTTGTATTCAGCAAAGTCTCACATGTAAAACAGTACCCCCTATGTACAGGTTTTATGGCGTTTTGGGAAGTTACAGGGTCAAATATAGCAAGTTACATTTGAAATTGAAATTCGCCAGATTGGTTACGTTGCCTTTGGGACTTTATAGTAGCCCAGGAATGAAATTTACACCCATAATGGCATGCCATTTGCAATAGTAGACAACCCAAGGTATTGTAAATGGGGTATGTCCAGTCTTTTTTAGTAGCCATTTGGTCACAAACACTGGCCAAAGTTAGCGTTAGTATTTGTTTGTGTGTGAAAAATCCCAAAAACGTCAATTTTGGACAGTGTTTGTGACTAAGTGGCTACTAAAAAAGACTGGACATACCCCGTTTGCAATACCTTGGGTTGTCTTCTTTTGCAAATGGTATGCCATCATAGGGGTAATTTTCATTCTTGGGCTACCATAGGGTCTCAAAGGCAACATAACCAATCTGGCGAATTTTTATGTGAAAAAAATGAAACACAAGCTTTATATTTGACGCTGTAACTTTTGAAAACACCATAAAACCTGTACATGAGGGGTACTGTTGTACTCGGGAGACTTCGCTGAACACAACTATTTGTGTTTCAAAACAGTAAAAAGTATCGCAGCAATAATATCGTCCGTGTAAGTGCTGTTTGTGCGTGAAAAATGCAAAAAAAGTCACTTTTACTGGCGATATCATCATTGTAATACATTTTACTGTTTTGAAACACTAATATTTGTATTCAGCGAAGTCTCCCGAGTAGAACAGTACCCCACATGTACAGGTTTTATGGTGTCTTGGAAAGTTATAGGGTTAAATATAGTGCTAGCAAATTAAATTCCCTTTACTTTCAGCATGGGTTGTCAGGCAGGTCCCGCTAATTGTAATTAATTAAGATACCTAATTATGTAAAAATATTACATAAATATTTATGTAGAATTAGTGTATGTGAATATATATGTATATATATAATTTTTTCAAAATATTTTCATTTATATATAAGTGTATATATAGTGATATATACGTATATATTTATGTATACAGACGTGTATTTTGATATAAATATATATATATATATATATATATATTAATATCACAATACAGTTAGAATGAAATAACACACATCTATATATTTTTAAATTATTTATTTTTATTTTTTTTATTTTATTTTTTAACGTATGTACATATTTAATTTTTTTATATTATATATAACAATAATTATATATATATATACCAGTCTGTGTTGATTAGCACTCACAGATTTCCAAAAGTCAAGTTAAAAAACTAAAGTTTATTAATCCATTAAAAAATGCTCTTTCAACGTTTCAGTCCACTACTGGGACTTTCTTCAGATTCCTGAAGAAAGTCCCAGTAGTGGACTGAAACGTTGAAAGAGCATTTTTTAATGGATTAATAAACTTTAGTTTTTTAACTTGACTTTTGGAAATCCGTGAGTGCTAATCAACACAGACTGGTATGTAACATTTCCCCTGATTTTGAGCACCCGGTCTGAACGATTATTTGAAGCTGGAGTGCAAGGATTTTGTGGATGGCTATATATATATATATATATATATATATATATATATATATATATATATTAATAGTAAAATACACCTAGACAGTGTATGTGTGTGTATGTATATGTGTGTATATATATATATATATATATATATACTTAGATCACATATATATATATATATATATATTTTTTTTACACTTTATTTTATTTTATTTCAAGTCAGCAGGGGGACTACCTGTCATTACAGGCAGCCCCCCTGCTGGCAATGCTGCAGCCAGCTATCCCGGCCATGTGATTGTGAGGTCCTCGCAAGGACCTCACTCTCACATGGCTAGGGGGCTGCCAGGAGGTCGGACGTGTCGCGGGGGGCTCCCTGAGAGTCCCCCCAACCGCGATCGCCAGCGTTGGACTGCCGGCGACCGGGTAAGTAAAGAAAGACCGGAGGGCGTACTATTACGCCCGGCGGCGTTTAGAGCCGCTTAGAATAGGGCGCAATAGTACGCCCTCCGGTCTTAAGGGGTTAAGGAAAAACTACTAAAGGAGGGTGTTCCACATTATTAAGCAGAGCACCATTTTCATGCAATATGGGGAAGAAAAAGGATCTCTCTGCTGCCGAAAAGAGTGAAATAGTTCAATGCCTTGGACAAGGTATGAAAACATTAGATATTTCATGAACACATTAGATATTACACGAAAACTTAAGCATGATCATTGCACTATTAAGAGATTTGTGGCTGATTCAGAGCACAGACGGGTTCGTGCAGATAAAGGCACATTGAGGAAGATTTCTGCCAGATTCATGCATCGGATCAAGAGAGCAGCTGCTAAAATACCATTACATAGCAGCAAACAGATATTTGAAGCTGCTGGTGCCTCTGGAGTCCCACAGACATCAGGGTGTAGAGTCCTCCAGAGTCTTGCAACTGTGCATAAACCTTCTATTCGGCCACCACTAACCAATGCTCACAAAATGATGAATGCCGTGCAACCCTGGATGGTCCAGATGGATGGAGTAGTGGCTGGTTGGTGGACGGCCACCCTGTTCCAAAAAGGCTGCGACGTCAGCAAGGCGGTGGTGGAGTCATGTTTTGGGCCGGAATCATGGGAAGAGAGCTGGTCGGCCCCTTTAGGGTCCCTGAAGGTGTAAAGATGACCTCTGCAAAGTATGTAGAGTTTCTGACTGACCACTTTCTTCCCTGGTACAGAAGGAAGAACTATACTTTCCATTATAAAATCATCTTCATGCATGACAATGCACCATCTCATGCTGCAAAGAATACCTCGGCATCAATAGCTGCTATGGGGATAAAAGGAGAGAAAGTCATGGTGCGGCCTCCATCCTCCCCTTGCCCTCTATCTTATTGAGAACCTTTGGAGCATCCTCAAGCAAAAGATCTATGAGGGTGGGAGGCAGTTTACATCCAAACAGCAGCTCTGGGAGGCTATTCTGACTTCTTGCAAACAAATTCAAGCAGAAACTGTCCAAAAACTCACAAGTTCAATGGATGCAAGACTTGTGAAGCTGCTATCAAATAAGGGGTCCTATGTTAAAATGTAATGTGACCTGTTAAAATGTTTAAAATGTTGTTATAAGTTTGATTGAAATAGCTTTTGATTTCAGTAAATATGCTGCAACCACAACAAATGACAATTTTCAGTTCTTTACAACCTATAAAGTGTTTTGAAACTTACTGTGTGTAATAATTTGGAACAGTGCATTGTAAGTTTTTTTTTTGTTTTTTTTTAAATTAAATACTGTTTATCATTATGAGGTTTGTTCAATAACATTTGAATTGTACTCTTAACAGTTGATAACATGAGAATTATGCTGACTGTTATTTACATCAATTATTTAGGTAAATGAGAAAAATACCATTTTGCATAATAATTTGGAACAGGGTGTAGTGTAATTTGCATTCATCTTGCATAGAAAATGCTTTGATGGAGTGGGCAACATTGGTGACAAACACCTCAGACATGTCAACATTAATGACAGGAAGCACCTCAACAGGTACTCCTACAGACTTGAAAAGTTCCATGCCACCATTAACCCCTTAAGGACACAGCTTCAGAAGCTTGACTTACGCTTAATGACACAAGCAATTTTTGCATTTTCTTGCTGTTTGCGTTCAACTGCAATTTGCATCTCTCTCATTTATTGCACCGACACATATTATATACTGTTTTTTAAAGGACAGAAAGGGCTTTAATTTGATATAACATATATATATATAAATGCTTACTTATTATAAAAAAAATACAGAAAAATGCAAAAAAAATGAAAAATATTGTTTTTTTTTACAGTTTTTGCAATAATAATGTGTGCATAATTAGTGCAGGTTAAGGAAAGTAATTAAAAATAAATTTATTTATTTGTTCTGATTTACAGAATATATAATGTGTCTGGGATTTTAAGTTTTTTTTTGGTAGTTACAGGTCACAAAGCACAAGGAGTAAAATAAACTTTTAATGTGGAGCGATTTTAGAATTTGGTATGTTTGTCTTGTAAGCTTAATAGCCATAAAAGAAAACAAAATTGCCACACAAAAGTATATATTTATATAAAGTAGACATCACGGGCTATTTACCTAAGGTTGTTTTGACACTTTCTACGTAGCCATTTCACCGCCAACCTCTGCTAAATATTGGAGTAAAATTGTGTTCTTTTTGGTTTTTGGCACACAAACTTATAACAGAGAAATTCTCGTGTATATTTTGTAAAGTTGGTGTGTGCTATTCCTGTACAAAGTTTTATTTTGTGTTCAGTTACATCTGCTGAGTAAAATGACACCCCCATTGTATGTCTTTTGCACTATTTCGTGAAGTTACAGTGCCATACAGGATACCTGTCCTTTTCAGTATTCACAGTAGAATTTTGAGAGATGGATTTAATGAGCCTTAGCTTCCATTTTGGGGTATTATAACAGTTTGACTGTTCAAAAAACCCCCACAAAGGCCTACCATTTGTAAAAGTAGACACTCCAGGGTATCTTATAAGGTGCATATTGTGCCTTAACATGCCCCCATTTTTTCACCAATATATGCCAAAGTATGTGGTAAAAAATAATTTTGTGCATTTTTTACATACGGATTGCATTTTTGCTGGGCGTTTTGTATATTTCATATGTGCCACTAAGTTCAAACCCCCCAAATTATGCTCAGCTAAGTCTTCTGAGTAAAATGACACCCCATATGAATGTCTTTGGCACTATTTCGTGAAGCTACAGTGCCATATAGGAGACCTGTCCTTTACAGTATTCACAGTAGAATTTTGAGAGATGGATTTAATGAGCCTTAGCTTCCATTTGGGGTATTATAACAGTTTGACTGTTCAAAAAACCCCCACAAAGGCCTACCATTTGTAAAAGTAGACACTCCAGGGTATCTCATAAGGTGCATATTGTGCCTTAACATACCCCCATTTTTTCACCAATATATGCCAAAGTATGTGGTAAAAAAATTATTTTGTGCATTTTTTACATACGGATTGCATTTTTGCTGGGCGTTTTGTATATTTCATATGTGCCACTAAGTTCAAACCTCCCAAATTATGCTCAGCTAAGTCTTTTGAGTAAAAATACACCCCCAATGAATGTCTTTGGCACTATTTTGTGAAGCTACAGTGCCATATAGGAGACCAAGCCATATCCGTTTTTACCAAACTTTGAATTTTGACGCTGGGCCTATGTGCAATTTCCAAGCATCTTCGCAGGTTTTAAATTCAAACTACCCCACAAAGGCCTACCATTTCTTAAAGTAGACACCCCAGGGTGTTTCAAAAGGTATAGTTTGAACCTTAGCGTGGGATCATTTTTCCGCTAGCTTGTACCAGATGTAGTGGTAATAAGCGTTTTTTCTGCCTTTTTGACATACAAAGTGAGTTTGCACAGTATATTTTGCAAACCTTATGTGTGCTACGACTGTATAATACTTCATATGTTGCTCAGCTATGTCGGCTGAGTACAGCAATACCCCCGTATGTACCTTTGCCAGGTATGTGTGGACATCGGAGGGGCACATTTGGGACACAGCCATTCCAGTTTTTTTCAAACTTTGAATTTTTATGCTGTGCCTATGTCCCATTTTAGAGTATTTTACCAGGCTATATAATCCAAATTCCCCATAAAGCCATACCATTTCTTAAAGAAGACATCCCAGGGTATTTCAAAAGGCATATTTTGAACCTTAGCGTGGGATCATTTTTCCGCTAGCTTGTACCAAGTGTAGTGGTAATAAGCATTTTTTCTGCCTTTTTGACATACAAAGTGAGTTTGCGCAGCATATTTTGCAAACCTTATGTGTGCTATGACTGTATAATACTTCATATGTTGCTCAGCTATGTCGGCTGAGTACAGCAATACCCCCGTATGTACCTTTGCCAGGTATATGTGGATGTTGAAGGGGCGCATTTGAGACGCAGCCATTCAGTTTTTTTCTAACTTTGAAGTTTTACGCTGTGTCCATGTTCCAATTTGGAGTAGTTTAGACGGTTGGTTATTGAAACTTCCCCACAAACACATACTATTTATTAAAGAATACACCCTGGGGTAATTCAAAAGGCATATTTTGAACCTTGGCGTGGGATAATTTTTTCTCTAGTTTGCTCCAGGTGTAGTGGTAATGAGCGTTTTTAAAATGTATTTTTTTACTTTTTATAACTTTTTTACTTTTAAAAACTAGTTTTTAAACTTTTGTTTTGCTTATAAATTTTTTTTAAACTTTCCTAAACTTTCTTAAAACTTTTTTACAGATTTAACATTTTTCTAAGCTTTTTTTTTTACCGTTAACCCCTAACTAGCAGTACGCAGCAGTAACAGTAAATTCCCCATTTTCCCATAACTCCCACCCACCCCAGCTAGCAAAATATATAGTT